AATCTGGAGCTGCTCTGGACACAGACTGATGCTGGGATCGACTGAATTCCCATGATGTCCCAGAGCCAACACCATCCCAGTGACCTCACTGTGCTGGATGCTGTTTGACTGCTCAGGGAAAGGGGGAGCACTCAGAGTTAGATTGGATAAAATCTTGTTATGCTGAATTTCACTATTTCTGGTTATTTTGCTGGGGACTCACCTCCTGGACAATTTTCCCTTTCTCTTTACCTTATCCATAATTAATGTATTAAAACCTGTACTTGGAAAGAGCAATGAGAAGGGAGCAATGAAACCCCTGCTCTCTCAAGTGGACAAATACGAAAAAACCACCCCAAAAAACCCAAAACAAAACACCAGGTAAAGTTCTCCCACTTAAAGATTCCATGAGAATATATTTATCTTTTGTGTTGAAAACTGTTTGGGGTGCTTCCCCCTTCGGCAGAACAAAGTCCAATGCCCACAGCACGGCGTCATCCTTGTGTTTTCACCCAGAGAAGTCCCACAGGCCAAACGACGGCCACCAGCAAGGCAGCGCAGAGTCAATACAATCCATATTCCAGGAGAGGTGAATCCCAGCTCCAGCCGCACCGGTCGCTACAATGACATCCCGCTTCGCTTCTTTGAGTCCTTCCGTGCAACGGGACTGAAGGACAAGATCTCCTTGTAAATATGCTCTTGAAAAACAGAACGAAATAATCATGAGTATCACTAGCATGTGTGATTTTAGGACAGAAATGGAAGTTTGACTGTTGGATGTGCGGAGAGGAGGTATTCAGTGGAGAGGATATGGCAGGTACAAGCTGGGGGTGGGGGGATAGAATGGAGAGAGGCAAGGAAAGATTCTGCCTGAAGAGATGGAGGGAATCTTCGCTGAACACATAAAAGGATGAGCAAGGCAAGGGAGATGTGCACAATCATCGAGGCACCAGCAGGCAATCACAGCCTTACTCAGCATGTGCACAGGAAAGAGAGAGAGGCAGGCAAGTCCCGTGCTAGGCGGGAACTTCAAAGAAGGTAAAGCTTCTTACTTCGCCATTCATCTATCGAAAGCTTCTCATGTTCCAGAGAATCATCGTAGGACTGTTGCGCTTCTGTCTCCTCCTCGACGTCTCGGAACTGGTCAAAATAGGGGTGAGCCAACGCCTCCGTCGCTGTAAGGCGCTTTTCCACATCCAGCTGCAACATCTTGTCAAGCAGGTCCACTGCTGCAGGAGGAGACAGGAACAGGGCTAAGCAAGGTGCGATGGAGAACAGGCATCCTGTGCACAAACCCTGCGAGTGTTTCCAGTACTACATCTCCAGACCCGAAAACGAAAGAGATTCCTCAACCTGGCCAAGTTAGCGTGGAGCTCTCGTCAGTGGGAATACAAAATCTGCCCAACAGCAGCCTCAGGGAGCTCTTACTAACAGAAGTGGAGGCGTAAATTGTGCGGAAATAACAAATCAGGCTTGATTAAGCCTTGCTGTGCGGATGGGGCCGCAAGAACACGAACAGCAAGCCAGTAACTTCATGATATTTTTCACTTTTAATCATTTGCTTTCACTCTGACCCCCACAACTCAAAGTAGTCTTAACATGAATAATCTATATAGAAATCTATACGTCCCTGGTAAACAGGAAGGCAGGAAACTCAGATACAGACAAGCCCGTCAGCCTCGTTCCCCCTTGGTTTTAACAGCTTTATGCTTTCTTCCTTTCAGCTTTTAGAACAGTTTTGTTCGCTCTCACCTCTAATCTACTCGGGAAAAGAGCTTCTTGTAAGAGATTGATTTTTACCCTGAAAATGGCACACTTCAGCTGCCTGTTAAGTATCAATAGATCCAGGTGTTCAACAGTTATGCTTCTGATCCTAATATCACCTGCAACAAGCTCTGGAAGCCAACACCAGCCAAAATTCATCCCAACTCTCATACCAAGTGGAGCTGATAAACGCAACGGTCCTAATCCCGTCATTTGCATCCCACAACCTAAACAAGCCGTTATACCCAGCACCCACTCTCTTGTGGCTTGTTGATATGAGAGTCAGAGGTTTATCTCTTAAATATCATATGTTACAGGCTATGTAATTTTAAAATTAAATATAAAAAATACAAAAATCAAGTCAGTGGCCAAGAACAGCAGAATATTGCCATTCCAATGCCAATAAAGAATAATTTTGCTTTTAATTCATGCATATTTGCCCTGGGGAGGGGCAGGGTCACAACCTGCAAGGGAGGAAGCAGCAAGAAGTTGTAAGAGGAGAAAAAAAAAAAAAAAGTCGCAGCCATGGCGGTCAGCCTGCCTCCTTTCCAGCTGTGAACTCGTGAGAAATGCTGGACATGACTTACCCTGCGGATTGGCTTTGGGGAAGAGCACAGACAAATCCTTCTTGGGGATTTTAGGAAGAGACTTGATATAACTCTTAGCCTGAAAGAGAAAGGAAAGCACAGACATTTACCGCACGTGGACAAGTGCCAGGGGGCTGGGAAATGCAACTCTCACTGCTCAGATGAACAAAGGCAAATGAAGAGCAAATCATCCCCAATGTCACATTTCAGTGACCAGTTGGCAACAAACTATTTATATCAATTGAGATACAGAAATATTCCTGCTTTAAGGGCCAAACTGGAGAACAGAGGAGGTCAGTGGTTTGCTGGGGCATCAGGTACCTCACCTGGGAGCCCCTGCAATCCCCACCAGTTCCCAACACAACACCAAAACCATCAGATGTGCCACTGGCAAAGAAAAACATCTTCCTTGCCAAAGGGAAATGACTGCTGTCACTCCTCTTCTCTGCAACACCTCTCCCGTCTCAAAGGCACAGCCAAGTTAACCTCTCCCCACCACACCTCCAAGACCTGAATCCACAGTGAATTCTTACCGCTTTGTCCTCCAGCTTCTCCACGAAGTCTTCTCCTGGATGCCCCGTTACTTTCAGGATCTGAGTCAGTTGATCTAGGTCTGCCAGGCTGAGTTAAAGATCACCCGTCTAGGAGCAAGCTGTGGACGCCACCCAACAGCTCAGCCTGCGGGCTGGGCGCACGAGAGCCCGAGGAGCCATGGGAGCTACGAGTAGGTTACCATACAAACCCGACAGGGCCCCACATTAGACTGGCAAAAATAGCTCCAAGGCTCTCCTCCCGGGATGCCACTTTCACCAATGGATAATTTTGTTGGCACAACTCTGCCACGGCACGTGCCCTTCAGTTTGGGGATGGAGCTGTGGCCACACAAGGTTAGACTGCCAATGCAGAGTACCTGCAGCCAGCACAGAAGTGTGCTTCTAAGGGTGGCTTGGCCCCCTCCTAGCTTCTCTTTTTTCCTCACTAAAAAGACCCACCGATCCCTGCGATTACCTCGTGGTAAGCCAGACTGACACCTACTTCCCTCTGTAGCCTCATTCATAAAAGCCCGAAGCCCTTTCACACACGCCAAGAATTATTTACCCCTCCTCCCAGAGAAAAGGTTCAGCTTGAAAGGATACAGTCTTTTCCTTTAAACAGCGTTTTCCCTGTCAGCATTTCTGCCATGATGCAGCCAATAGACCAGATATCCACTGTTCAGAGAGAAAAAGGAGGAAAAAAATAAATAAGAAAAAGAACTTTAAAAGGAAGCAACGATTGCTGGGGCTGTTGCTTACAGCAGGCACTGATTCAAATTTCACTCCCATTTTCCACCCTCCCCTGTTGTTTCTATGCTGCTAAAGCCTCTGCTTTCATCATTTTCCACAGGCACTAGCTTTGGGAATTGTGCAACAGCTTTGGGACTCACTCCACTCCAGGGGACACTGATGATAAAGAAGAAAAACATCTGGAGGATTACATGAGATTTGACCCAGGCGTGACAGCGGGATCCCTGTGCTCGTCACCAGACAGTCACACCGCTGAAGCGCGGCAGCTCACCTGTCTGGTTGTAATGCATCCAGTTCAGAATGACTTCTGGGGCTCTGTACCAGCGCGTAACCACGTAGCCGGTCATTTCAGCATCAGCGTGTCTGGCCAAGCCAAAATCCAAGATCTGCAGTTCACCAAAGGAAGAGGGAGAAGGAAGGGCAGGGAAGAAAAGAGAAATCCTACGGGCAAATGAGAATCTACTTCTAAGCAGAAAAGAAGCAGATCCAATCAGATAACGAAGCTCCAACCACACCACAGCCACCCACAGGACGCTTCAAAGAACTAACAGGTTTGTCTTAATTCCACTGTAAAATTGCAAGGTGGCTGCAAAACCAGTTGTTGTGTGAAGACCCTGCCAGCAGGATCAGTGCTGCGTGCTAGCTGGAAGGTCACTGCCTTTCTTGAAGCTGAAGTTTCAGCTCTATGAGCTTTATTTAATTGGGTTGTTCTATAACCTGGCAGCAAGGGCATGCTCCCAGGCCACCACGACTCCCCCTTTCCTATAAAAACACCTTGCAGCTGACAGGGGATGGCCTCTCCCTCAATCCTGGAGGTGACCTAACCTTTACAGGCAACGGAGCCATTCCCTGTAACGTATGTTACAGCAAACGCGCGCTAGGGCGCCGCACCAGCGAGCAAACCCTTCAGCGAAATACTGAAGACCACTTGGTCTGGCATCACAACCGTCGCATCAATGAGAACTGAAGGGTAACTGCAGTTGGATCCAGTTATCCTCCAGGGATCGTGCACCTAACGCAAGAATTGCTCAGCACGACTGAATTTGTTTAGGAAGTCATTACGAACTGCCGTGCTGCGGGAATTACGGTGACAGGATGTGCATTCCGAGTCTTGGGCCCTGACTCAGCAAGTTACATCAGCAGGTGAGTATTTCCCACTGCCTGCAACCGCTGAGTAATGAAACGCCTCGAATCAAGTCTCGGAAGGCAAGAGGAAATGTGACAG